ATATAGAATATTGTATAGTTATTAACTTGTTAGATAATATAATTTTGGCAATATTGGACACTTATGTTATTCTTTTCTAATTTGGTTTATTTAATAAATATGTAAAAATTATCTTTTAAATTTAGATATTTGCTCTTAAATAAAAACAAAAAAACTATAACAAAACATTATTAGTATTCTTTTTAAATCTTTTTTATTAACAAAATACTAATTATCTATTTGCAAAAGTTCTAAAATTATTTTTAATATATTTCAATAATTACTATATTGAAAATATGTATAGTAAATTACAGTTTTATACTTTTACTAATAGTAGTACAAATAATATTGTTAGACAGGCTTATGTTATTAATAAGTTTTAATTTACAAGTTTCTGTTATAATACTAATATTTATTATATTCTAATTCTTATATTAAAATTGTAAAATATAAATCAGTTATATACTAGGTTTTATTTTTTTTATTTTTTTTTATTTTTTTTAAATATTAAAGTGCATACTTGCAACCCAGGATTTTATTGATAGTATATTTGGCTAATAGTTGCATTACAACCACAGAAGACAACTATAGAAAGAATGTACAACTAGCCACTTGCACAACTTTAGTCATTGTCTAATTTAAGTAGTCTGTCTAAAGGTTTTACACTAGCTGTCATACCTGAAATCTGCTTGTAGGTTCTCTATTTAATTACTCTAGTTTCTGTATTTACCTATCTATCTCTATTTATTAATAATTCTGGCCAATGCCAATAAAAATATATCATAGCTACTAAGTCTTTAAAGCAGTTCTTTGAAACCTTTAACCTTATACAAACCTTTTAGAATCTTCTGTATCTTATTCTTATAGCTGACTCAGTATCACTATAGCTAAGACCAATACTGGCAGTTAGGATGTACTATTAAACTATTATGCTCTTATAGAGTTCACCCCAACCCTAATACTAACTTTACAACATATCTTTACTACTTTGGTATTTAATTTAAGTTCTACTAAGCTGCTATTTCAAATAGCTCAAAAAAGTAGATCATAACCATATATCTTTGGTTTACATGTTTGCTAGTATGTATTCTTTTTTTCTGAAATCCAGAAATTTCAACAGCCTAATTGGTTTATCTAGTTCCTTTTTAAAAACTGACATATTTGCTTAGTTTTATAAGTTCTAGCTTTATTTTATAAGTCTAGTTTTTATAGTAGCATCATTAAAAGTTCAGATTATCTCTCTACTTAGATGTTTCAAGTAGGCTTCTGTTTTCTTATTTGGTTCTTGTAATTTATATAGTCTAAAAACTTATCTTAAATTTATACTACTTAGTACTAGTTTGTGTTTTTTTGTACAACATTGTACAAGTGCTTAGACCTTCTAGTTATGCTGTTATAATATAGATTACAGGTATCTTATCCTAACCAATTACAGAAGACAGTTAACTGTAATATAAAAAAAATTGCAAATTTTCATTATCACTAGAATTTGAACTCTAAATCTGCCACTTGAGAGTTAACAACCTATTCACTTCACTAGGTCATCACACTCTCTATACTAGGTTTTATAAATATAAGCAAAAATTTTATTTCTGTTTATATTTGTAAAACCTAGTATATAACTATTATTTATTTATTTATTTATTTATTTTTTTTTTTAAGTTAAAGTCCCTATCTTGGGAGTTGTGATGTTTTTATTCAAGTATATTAGAACACGGTGTGCCACCAAGGGCTTACCTTACATTGGAGGTTACAACTAGCCACACGTGCACTTTTGGTGCCTAATTTAAGTAGTTCACTTACACATTACTATATAAGTTCTACACTAGTTGCCATACCTGCAAGCCAACTAGGGGTCTTGCCTATTTAAACCCTCTGCATATGCAATTTTTCTTGTATCATAGGAACATCTCAAGGTGTCACCTATCCAAGTTTCTGATGCTTATTGGTCTCCTTAGGACTACTTTATCCTCAATAAGAAACTTACTAAAGCCTTTATGTCCTATACATCTAGACCTAGTTTTATGCAACATGCTATAGTTATCTAACACTTGCAGTCACAGAGGTTACCTGTTTAACCACTACGTTACACTATTTATACCCTTGTAAAGTTCACTAGAACCCCAGTACTCATCTTTTCGACATCTTCTCTATCATCTCTTACTAGCTGCAACTCAGAATCGTCGGTCTCATTTATTCAGACTACCAATCCAGATGGTCTGGTATGGTATACTTTTGTATCCTTTTTCCTCTAGCAAACCTAGCAGCCTGGTTGGTTATGTGCTCCTCTACACATATTTGTCATCCGGTTTTAATCTTTGGTTTCTATGAAGGTGTTTCATAGGCTTCAACCAGTCCAATGGTACCGTCGAAAGTTCATGCTATCTCTTTACTCGGGAATTTCCAAGTAGGTTTCTGTCACCTCAGTTCCTTAGTCTTCTACGCCCAGTGGACTTATCGTGGGTTTGTACTGAAGTCTTATGCAACACCAGTAACATTTCTCTATGTATGTGTAATATTACACTTCACATAGATGCCTTGAGCTCCCAAAGCCAGGAGGACCCAGCCTGGTGTACCTAGGTAACAGCCACATAAGGCCAACCGATCGACAGAAGACAGTTACCATAACATAGATATAATTTCCAAATTTCGTCGTAGGTGAGATTTGAACCTTAGACCTGCCACTTGAAGGATAACAACCCAACCACTACACTAGGATCGCCATCCTCACTATTACTTATTTATAATTCAAGCATAATAAGATTCTTGTATAGAATTATAATTTTATTAATTATCTTTTATTAGATTCTTAAAATTATATTAAACTCAAAAATGTATTTGAAAAAACAAAACAGTACACTTATAAGCTATTAATATTAAACTTTTTAATAGAAAAATTAGTATAATTTTTGTTAGAATATTTTTATAAAATATTTATAAATTATAAAAAAAATAAGCTCTATAAACAAGATAAATATAAGTTAGTAATTCTAGAAAAAACTGTAGACTTAAAATGTCTTTATATAGTATATAGTACTAATATATTACTATTACCAGATGTATATAAGTATTTTTTCAAAAAACTTATAATAGTAAGTACTAGCTTGCAAACATAAGTATAATTTTGAATACTATTTAACTTATAGATTATTATTGTTATTGTAAAAAATATTACAAATACAGAATATTTAGTAATATAAAATCTTTTATAAAAAAATTAGAAAAAGGTCTCAATATTTTTACTATTGAAAAAAAAAATTTAAAAAAAAACCTTAAATGAGAATAATAATATAATAGAAAAGATAAATTTAAATAGAAACTAAAACACATATGTAGCCTTACTAAATACAATTAATTAAATTAGTATTTAGTGAATAATAAGCTTTTATGAATTGAATAGATTAGAAGTTTAGTAAACTATTACTATTATAATATTTCAAATATTAATATTCTAAAATTTTGACTTTTTATTTAAATTTTATTTTTACTAGATCTATTTAAATTTTATTTTATTATATAATAAAATAGAATCTAAGTTTTAGAATGAAGAGGTATGATAACTTAGTGAAATGAATAAGTTGTCAATCTCTTAATTGATAGATTGTAAGTTCAAAACTTATTGACAATAAAAATTTAAATAATTACTTATATAATATATAAATAATATTATAATAACAACATTCTGTTAATTAATTAAAATAAGATATCTATAATTATAATTATACTAATATGATTAACAGATCATAAAACATTTGTATAATTTTGATTATATAAAGAAATGCAAACTAGTACTAAGTAGTGCAAATCTAAGATAAGTTCTTGTGGCTATATAAATTTGTAAAACTAAAGCCTACTTGGAAATACTAAGTAGAAAAATAATACAAATCTTTAACAATACTACTATAAAAACTAAATCTAGAAAACAGATACCAATATAGTAAAATCAGATAGCCAAAAATCTCAAATAAGGAGTATTATTAACCAAGCCATTTTAGATCAAAAAAAAAATATCAGACTGACTTTGATATACTAAGAACAAGTCACAATCCTTCTGAGCTATCTGAATTAAAAGTTTAAAAACCAAAACAAGTGTATACTAAAAATATATTATAAAATTAATATTAAAATCTAAATGAACTTTGTAAAAATAATTCTTATTAATAATCCATAAAGTAGATAGGTAGTTAACAAAAAAAACTCTTTATATCTTACTAACAAATATCATATTCTGAAATATATAATAATCTAAAAACCAATACAAAAAGAGTAAATATTATATTGCTTAGACAGTATACTAGTTAGGTATATACAAGAAGTTAGTTGATGTTACATCATAATGAAACAGATAATTAAAAAATTTAAATAAATAATCTTCTAGTATAGAACTCTCAGATAAATTACTTAAATAAGCAATCAAAAGTTGTATGTGTAACTAGTGTACTCTTATCTTTGTATAAATAGTTGTAATAATTAATTCCAACAAAAATCAATAAAAGTTTCACCACAAAGTATGACAAAAAAACAAAAAAAAAAGTTTTAGAATGTACACATTATCTCTACTTTTTTCTTATTAAAATTTTTTTTATGATGAATCGTTCACATATTGTATAACAATAGTGATCAACATAAATAACGATCATTTTTTAACGAACGTTTTGTTTTGATCTTTCTTATCGTGTAACGTTACATAAAAGCGAAACTCACTATTGGATAAGTTCAAGCGACCCTAGCCATGGCGAAGAAAAGTGGCAGGCACGTGGCTACAACCAATCAATGAAAATCAAAACAATCAAGTAAAGCGTGAGATTTAAGACAATAAGCTTTATTGCGCAGAAGCCGTTCACGTTACACCTGATCCTGAGATATAATTGGCTAAATAGCCTATAAATCACGTGGCTGCCACGCCATGGCTAGGGTATTTAATTCTTCACTCGCTGCCAAGTTACACGTCTAATAAAATCTGTTTTTTTTTGTTTTATTTTTAAAGAAGCATGAAATTGGAAAAAACAATCAAGAACACCATGAAAACTAATCAAGAAATAGTAAAAGAAGACATATCAATTTTTAGTGACGCGTCTCCAAAAAGATCTGATTCTATTTATAACCAAATTAACGCGCCACATTATCGAGACTTTCTCAATGATATAACTTTTGGAGAAGGAGATTCTTGGTTCGGTACTTATCAAGCGCTTGATAATTTGAGACCATATTTAGGCATACTGACACTAAATTTGTAAAAGATAAACAAAATACTACGACCATATTTTCGTTTCTTGAAAAGAAAGTCGACGATTTTACTGTGGTGGCTAATGATTCTATAATCAGTAAAAATGTGAAAATTCAAGTGAAGCAAGAAACGAATTCTAAGGAACTCAAAATTCCAAAGAATTTTGAACCGCCAAAGCGCGTAAAAAACTATCCTTCATTTAGATCTCCAGGGATACAAGTAAGATTCGTTATATATATATATATATATATATATATATTTTTTTTTTAATAAAATGCATAATGTTCTGAATTCAAGAAACGACAGCCTGTGAAGAAGTTTGTCCCAGAATTAACAGTGCCAAGGCCGTTCAAATTTCACGCGATTAACCGCATTAACAAGACGGAAAATCAACTTTCAGCGTCACCATATATTCCACTGGCTGCACGAGTTAAGCAGTTCATAGAAAAGACACCTGATAGGTTTAAATCAAAGCTCGTATCGATTAAGGTATATGGTTTTACCACGATGGTTAATAATAATTAATAAGGATTTCTATATTAATGGGAAGTGTTATTTTACAGCCTGCTACAGTTCAAGTGAAACCTCCGACGAAGCCCAAATCTCCATTATTGCGTACAAAGTTGAGAGCCAAACCACGCAAGTAAGTCTTGTATAATGATACATCGATTAACTTACAAAAGCTTTATTTCAGATGTTATATCGTGTGTACGTTTTAGGGTATTTAACGAAAATGAAAGAAAAAAACAGGAAACTAATAAAATTCGCGCAAAGTCGGTAAATTCAAAGGTACGGTTATAATGAATAAGAAAGCTTGAAAGAAACATTTGTTAACAGAGTTTTGAACTTGGTGTACTGTCAATTAAGAAAGCTGATCATGCAAAGCCAGCACCTAAAATCCCAACAACACAAACCAAAAAGCCAAGTAAACCACCCACAGTACCTGTCAGTTTTGTTTTCCAAACAGATACACGCATGAAGGAACGGAAAGCCTTTGACCAGCAAAGAAAACTGCGGGATCAAATGAAGAATTCACTTAGGGAAAAGAAACGTGAAGATGCACGACACACGTGATGATGTATTCAGCGTACTAGTGTACTAGCATACTACGTAGATAACTTTATGTATAGTTCTATATGAACATCAAATAGACAAATTTTTTGTGTAACAGTTACAATGATTTATAATAAAATGCTTCTGATTTTTAAAAATATTACATTTTTAACTACAGTAAAACTTCCATAAGTACATGTTCTTGGGCCCGACCTTTAATGATGTGCACTTAGAGAACATAAGAAAAAGTGCATTTATGGAGATTATGAATAGATTTGACTCGAATTTAAGCGTGCACTTATAGAGAATGCACTTATGGAGGTTTCACTGTATATAACTCCTAATGCCCACAGGAAGCGTTATAAATTCAAAAAAAATTTATTGTAAGCGCAAAAAAAAATTTACACAAAAAAAAAATTTATATGGTGCGAGACATCTAATTGCGTCACAAAATAATTGGCTTCTTTAAAAGTTTAATAACTTTTTAACTAAAAATTTTTTTTAAAAAATTTTTCTATAATTATATTATTTAAGACCTAAAGAATATAAATGGGGATCCCCATAGCAAAAAGAGGTATTGGGACATTTTAACTTTTACTATTTAAATAACTATATCTCATGATCTAGTAATCAGAATTAAATAATTTTTATATTATTT